TTCATAGCAATCGAAAAATAAAACATTTTTGCTTCGATTTGGATATAGCCTTAGAGTATTTTCGAAAATCATATAAAAATATGACACCAATAGATTTTGACGAATGTGATGCCACATGATAGGGTATTTGAATGAGAGATAAAGGACAATAATCTCATCCTCCCGATAGTTCAGTAGAAAAAGTTATGAAAGGAATGGAAACAATTTTATTTGCAGATATCTCAAACATTATTTTAAAGAGCAACATAGTTGATTTCGTATTTAGCACCCTCAAATATGAATTTTCATAGCAATCGAGAAATACAATTTTTTGCTTCGATTTTCGTCAAGAAATATATATATATATTATGATGTAGAGATGGTTGACCGTTGATATAATATGAAAAGGAGTTAGTCGAGGGTGCGGTCAAATAAATAAAAAAATTAAAATATATAAATTATTTTAATTTTTGCCGACGTTTCGACCCACTTTGCAGGTCGTCTTCAGGGCTACAAAAGATACAAAACATGTTGAAAATAAAAAATAAATATAAGTATATATAAAATACGAAGAAGTTATCAGATACAGAAATATATAAATAAAAGAAGTTGTCAGATACCATCCTTTATTTCTGTATCTGACAACTTATTCGTATTTTATATATACTTATATTTATTTTTTATTTTCAACATGTTTTTTATCTTTTGTAGCCATGAAGACGACCTGCAAAGTGGGTCGAAACTTCGGCAAAAATTAAAATAATTTATATATTTTAATTTTTTTATTTATTTGACCGCACCCTCGACTAACTCCTTCTCAAATTATATATATATTTTTTTTTTCTAAAATCTCAAAATATTCTATAACAATAGATTTTGATGAATGAGGCTTCAAACGAAAGGGCATTTGATGGGGACGTCAAGAACAATAGTCACATCCTCCCGACAGTTCAGAGAAAAAAGTTATGAAAGAATTAGAAACATTTTTATTTGCAGATATCTCAAACTTGTCAATGTTTGTTTTCCCCAACATTTCACCCTTTCGTTTGATACCTCATTTTTCAAAATCAAAGGCTATCAAACTTTTTGTAATTTTTGAAAAAAAATCCAAAGCTTGCTGAAAATTTGAAACATCAGGACATAGGTTAAAAATCCTCATATGGAATTCAAATGGCGTACTTACAGAAATGAGCAAGAAGTATTTTTAAGTTTCGAGAACAATGATGTAGTATTATTGATTTAAACACACTTGACAAGCCAAATTAAATTTTCAATACCAACTTCCAACACTTTCAGGACTAACCATCCATCAAACTGTGCTAAAGGTGGCACACTCATTCTAGTTAAAAAATCTATTAATCACAACTGAACCGAAATCGAAGAAGTATCAGGAAATGCATATTGTAATAAACAACGTTAATTCATGTCTTTACGAGCATTACCCTCATTTTATCTAAGGAAACGTGTTTAATTTGTATATTTTTTCTATTACAACAAGTTAAAGAAAGTTATAATTATATTTTGTGTCTTAAAGTAACATATATGACAGTAACAAATGAGCTTAGCAGTTGCTTAGCTCATTATTAAGTCATCAAAACATTTTTCTATCTACTAAAATGTATTTAAATATTATAATTTCATTGAACAACTATTAGTAGTACACCAAATACCAAAGATAACCATATTTCTCGTATCCTTATTCCTTAAATGTTTGAGCATTTTTTGGTGCTATTAAAAAGTAGACGGAGGAGGGAGTACCGAACGAGAAGGACAAGCAAGCATCAATAAATGCGCGAACATTTAAGGAATATGGAGACGAGGAAAATGGTTAAAATGGTATTTGGTGGACCAAAAAAGTAGTTGTTCAATGAAATTATAATATTTTAATACATTTTAGTAGATAAGAAAATGTTTTGATGACTTGATAATGAGCTACTCAGCTCGAAACGTCGTTGGAAGTAGAATAAAAAAATTGAAAGTATAAGAGCTTATATATTTCTTGAAGACACCATATATAAGTACATTGAGTGCCCTTGAAAAGTACTACTGTAGTAGCTAAATATACGCAAACAAAAACTACAGAAACTGATGGAGTTTTAGGTTTATTTGATGGATTTTTTTTTTTCAACAAATGTTTATTAATTTCTAATTGCTGCTAGGTAAATAAAATATTGTTGTAATTTATTTTGAATGAAAACTGGTAGGAAAGAAACACAAATTGGCACACCAGATATTTAAAAAACTTTTTATGGATATTTAAATTAAAGAAAATAAAATGAAAATTAAACATAGTTGTTTTTTCACATTAACATAAAGTTCGCTCATTTGAAATTCTATTTCAAAACAAATCGATTACAGAACATCAAACGATTCCTGACTCCTATTTCCTTGCACACAATCTCCTCATATTGGGTAGTGTAGTTGGTCAAATTACATATTACCTTCAAATTGCACAAGACAGGTCATCCTCCTTCAGATGTGAGATTAATTCCCAACTCTATCGTGAATAAGGAAACCTCTCTAATAATTATTACGTAAGTGAATAATAGTAGGTCTCTTCCAACAAGTTTTGACTAAATTGAGCTGTATTAGCAAAAGGTCAGCCTTATGTACAAACACAGATTTTCCTTTTCAAAACCTTAATCCCGCATTAAGATGGATCGAAAAACTTGTTTTCTACCAGAAGACTTATTTCACCAAAATTCAACTTTGAAACCCAAGACTACCCCGAATTGATTTTCTGGATAGAGTGCGAATCATTTCCACGTATCTCACCAGGCCTTGAGAAAAATCAATATAATATTCAAAGTAATCTAGGACGAAGGAGGAGATATTGTCTGAGCCCGTGCAGAAAAATTTACATTATCTGAAGAAAATTTTGTATGATTTTTTTAAAAATATTTATAACGTTTATATTAAAACAAAGGAAGTCTGCCAGTTGGATCTCGCTATCTGTAAAAATGGCGACTGATTAAAAGAATATGAGGGCCAACCAATAACTTGAAGACCAAAACGGGCAAGAGTGCCCATCTCCCCTAAGGTCGATGGCGCAAGGATCTAGCCATCTCCTCTCCCCTCCCCTCCCCCCCCCCAACAAGGTATTTATTTTATTGCTCACCTTTTCTTAAAAACAGTTTGAAGTTTGCCCCCTCAAAAATTAAAAAAAATAAACCCCCCCCCCAAAAAAAAATAAATATTGTTTCATTAAAACCTTCTAGGCACCCCTGGAAACGGGAAATTCATTGCGAAAAACGTGGGAAAAGTTTTTAATTTTTAACTCGTATATTTGGATATATATAGTTTAGAAATGTAAAAACCAAAAATGCTAACGCGGGTCGCCAAGGGAAAACTTCAAAAAGCCAAAAAGCTAGATTTGTTCGATTTTTTTTTCATCTATAACTCCTAAACGGTGCATCGGAGTGAAAAACATACTCTTTGAATAATTAAAGAACGCTAAATTGTGCAGTCGATAGTCATGGTCAATGAACGCTTATTTTTACCTAATTCGTCAAAAACTGTGGAAGAATTACTATAAATGGTCCTGGAGTTTGAAAATGAGTTGTCTAAGAGTCTGTGAGAAAAAAAAACTCACAGAATAAAAGTTGTGAGCATCAAATTCTGCGTCCATTCAATAGTTTTAATGTGGGTCTATTATACATCTCAAATCGGGGTTCCTTGTTTTATCATGATCTTCAGTTTCGTTTGATACATCTTTTCTCAAAATTCTTTGCTGCTGAGAGCTGGAAATGAATTCTGTACTGTATATACTAGACACTTAACAAGATAACTCAGTAGAATCGACACTCATACCGTTGAAATATATAAAATAACAGATATCTTCATTACCAGTTCACAGCCATCACTATTCACTACAGATTTCGAGCAGAGTAAATGACCTACATTAAAACTATTGGTACTCAATGGACGCTGAATTTGATGCTCTACAACTTTCATGCTATAATTTTTTTATCTTAGGAAACTCATTTCCATGCTACAGGGCCATTTAAAATAATTAAATTAAATTTAAAAAAAAACATTATAAAATCTGCCTTTTTTGGCTGTAAAAATTTTTCCCTTGGTGGCCCAACTAGCAAATTTGTTTTTTAGATTTTTTTTTTTTTTATTCATTGATATTTACAACTGTATTATAAAAAAAAATACAACTAGTAAATGTGCACACAGTAATAATACAATGACATGAAAACGCTTGTTGAGAAACTACCCATTGGTAGCACTGTAATAATATATTTACATAAGTAGATCACGAGGCCATCTTCTTTTCAGACGTCTATTTAAACCAATAAATACAAGTTAAAAAAATATAAAACATTTTCCCAGATTTCTTGAAATAAATTTCTCATTCCGATCCTCTCGTTACTGGCTTGGTTATTGTTCTATAAATTAGTCTCTATTTTTTTCAGGTAGCATGGTTCAACTGGTAGACTGATTTTTTTAATATCAAAAAATGCTTTCAAAATTGTCTTCAGATAATTTTTTTTTTTTATGGGTTCTTGTACTGATTTACATATTTATGATAATAATAATGAGCCATTAATGGTAATTAAATATAAAAAATTTTCCCGTGATGGCCCACGTTAGCAAATTTGTTTTGTATATGTTCCAACTAATATATTCAAGTTAAAAAATAGAAAATTTAAAAATAAGAATTTTTTAGCGCGACTTCGTGACAAAATCAACTAAACCTCTGTATATATATTTTTTTTAAATAAAAGTTTTGAGAAACCTTTACTGGAAAAGTTGCAAAGGAGGAATGTTTTAGTTCCAAAATAACAGAAAAAAGGATTGAAAATAAAAATTCCAGTCACACCGAAACTGAATAAAAATAAAAGTTAAAATTCCATTTCAAGCCCGGATTTGAATATTCGAAAACAGGACCTTTCATAAACATTTTTTCAAGACAGGATGAACATTACATTGCAACTGAGGTTATCAGAGAAGAAGCATCATTAATAAACTGGTTTTCCCGGTACGGAATTCAATCCGGGAACTCCTGGATCAACCTTGAATCGGGAGGAGGGGGGCGCTGGGAGATCGCGGGATCTCCTCTCAGTGTTGTTCTGTCCGATGGCTCTGCGACTCCTCGTTTGCAGTGCCCTCCTCTGTCTCGTCGCGGCGAACTCCAGGGTTCGTCGGATCGTCGGCGGCGAAAAAGCCCAGGAACCCCCGAGTCCCAGCGAGCAGATCCCCTTCACCACCCCCGAACCCGATGACAGCAGTCCTCTGGTGTTCGTCAAGACCAACAGGAGGAGGGCCGAAGTCGTCGGCAATAGGAATCCTGATGGAACTTACAGTTTCCTGGGCATTCGTTATGCCATGCCTCCGACCAAGAACCGTCGTTTCGTGGTAAAGATAAAACATAATCATTGTTATATTATATAATTATAAGCGGCCTAGGTGTATGTCTTTATTTTTGGCTAGTAACAACAAAACAATTCAATTTTTTTTTATCAAAATAAGAAATTAGTCTACTCGATCTATTTGGTTTACTCACAGGGGGATCTACAGGGTGAAGGGCTTTCTGGCTGAAGCCTCTCCTCAAAATGGTAAAATGTAACCAAGTTTTATGAAAAAAAATTATTTCTTAAAGTATTATTGTTCATGTAATTACATTTAATAGGACTTTAAGAATTACTTAAACACCATTCCATAGTATTTTTTTTCCAAAGTAATTGTCAAATAAAGTTGTAAAAAGCAAACAAAGTATACCAATTGATGTTATACACAATGACCTTCAGGAAATCAATGTAATTATTTACATTTAAGTCTTAAGTAGATTTTTAAATCACCACTCTTTGAACTTCATATATTTCAACCTTGGTTATTAATCTATCTAGCCAGAGCTAGATAAAAAAAAAGTTACTAATGAAATATTGTAAGAAATAATTTGAAAATATCATTAGCGCAAAATTTAATAATTATAAAATAATAAGTAAGTCGCTGGCATCTCTGGAGAATCCACAGAGGGAATGAGGCTTTTCTGCTGACTTCCTCTCAAAATATAGAAATAATTTTTCTTTTTATTCATGTGAAAGATAGCTAAATATTACTCTTTTTAAATTACAATGCAAATACAACAACTATGGCAAATGTAAGAACTTGTAGAAACTATTTTTATTTATTTATTTGTTTTTGTTATGTTTTGTTCACTAGTCAGAAAAATAGTCTAAAAAAATATCTAGCTCTGACTATATGTATGAATAACAAAGGTTGAAATATATAAAATTTAAAAAATTGTGAATTAAAAATCTATCTAAGACTTGAATGTAAACAATTAAAATAATTACATTGATTTCCTGAAGGTCATCTATTTATTTAAAAATAAACATACAATTTTGAGATATATTTTTCTTATCTTTGGATACGATCTATTTAAAAAAAAAAAATCCAATCCACCATTTTAGCTAAAAATAAATAAATCATACCTACAATGAAATAGCCTACAGATCAGACAGTAAGATGCAGGATGGTCAATTACTGTTCTCCAATTTCCTGGTATATCACCTGAGACTACTATCAGGAACTCGTGTTTAAAAATTGAATAAATTTAAGAAGCAACAACAGTTTCTGCCTTATTAAAGTCCATTGATTTTCTCATCTGGAATCATTCTTGTAAAAAAAAATATATTCCAGTTGAATAATAGATATAATTCATTTAGCTGATATTATTTTTTTTTTTTGTTGTTTATAATTTATTTTAAAATATATTTTAAAAAAGGAAAACAATTTTAATACAGATTTTAGTTGAACCAATAACAAAATGATACAAAAGAAGAGAAAATTTACTTGTTTACATTGTAGACTGTTTTTTATATTTTATTATTTTAAAGTTGAGAAAAAAAAGGAAAATAGTATTTATAATAAATTTTAACAATACAGGAGTACATTTTGTTTAGTTGGTACAACATATAAAACAAGTCCCAAACAAAAAACAAATTAAAAAATTTGGGTAAAAAAAATTACATTAACTTAAACAGGTCAAAAACTATTATTAGAAACCAACATACAGGTTCATAAAAAATTATTTAGTTGCGCTTTTTTGATCAGTAAATTAGTCTATACGTTAATTCATTTACTGAGAAACTCAGGAAAAGAAACTACATACTTCTGATTGGCACTGATAACCTTATAATCTCTATTTTATAAATACTTTTTTTGGGACACATTTGAGATATCCTAGATTCAAACAAAATTATATAACAAAATGTTATCAATAACATTCATATTCATAATTCAACGGATATTTTGTAAATATGTGTATATAGAGCATAATTTTTATATAAATAAATATTTCTTATTTAATAAATTTTTCAAAAATAAGTAAGAAAAAATATTTGCAAACCATATTTATTAAAATAAGAATTTGGATTATTTGGTATCAAGTAAGATTAAATGTTCAAACATATTCTTTAATTTATTATTGAAAACGTTTTTTATAAAAACAGAAATTAAAATAAAAATCAAATAACTTTTTAGCAAGGAAATTTATTATTGATAAATGATAAAAAAATTTTAAAATGGCAGGTTGATTTAATTTTTCTGGAATATCTAACAATACTAATGATTTTGTCCGTAAAGCTGTGAATACTATTTAATGCTCACAACTAGCATCAAAATAAAAATTTCAAATCAAAAGTTATTATTTTACTTCTTTGATGCTTTCATACTTTTTTTCCTTGCAATTCTGATAAATATAAAAATATTATAATATCTAAGACATGGGTGTACACTTTGACCTTAAATAATACACTAACTTTTTAATCTTCAAGTGACCAAAGCTTATATGATTCAACAGAACTCCCTTACCCTGATGAATAATTCTAATCTGACTTCCGCCATAGAATCAAATATACAACATAGTTTGTCCTTTATTTATTTTTCTAATTTTTTTTGGCATTCGTTTCAAATGTTTACACTCTTATTATTACAGGTCGTGGTGCTGTATGAAAAAAAAAAAGAACTTAAGAATTGGAGGTCAAGAATTTTCTAATAAATAGCTTTAAAAATCACTAAAAAAAAGGAATACAAAAACTGTTTTCATAAGAGAATGCTTATATTTTGTTTATTTGTTAAATATCTTTAATAATATAATAAAAGAATATTAATATATTTCAAAAAGTTGATACTGATGTTAATTTCAGAGACCATTGAGATTGAAACCAAAAGGTCTAATAGTAGCAAACAAATTTGGGCCTCCTTGTCCACAATGGTGGCGTGGAAGGCTCGTAGGAGACGAAGATTGTCTACATCTGAATGTTTTCACTCCTCAGGTATGTAATATATTATAGCTCTTGTCAGAAAAAAAAATTAAATATTAAAATATATTTATAAAAAAAAAAGAACATGTATATATATGATTCCTTTAATCCAGGGGTTATATGGCAATTGATAAAATGAAATGGAAAGACTTTCTTAAACTATTAATTTCACCAATAGATATTTTCTTGTTTGAGATAGACTAATTTTATTTATTATTTTGTTTTACCAGCTACCTGAGAATAATAGCAGTTCAACGCCTTTATTACCAGTTATGATGTGGATACATGGAGGGAATTTCAAAACAGGATCAGCTGCGCAATATGTCCCCTTGAGAGAGCTCTTAAGCCGTGGCATTGTTGTAGTCACAGTGCAGTATAGGTTGGGCACTTTGGGTATGTATATATGAAAAATTGACTGTTGTTCTTTGATTCTAAATATCTGGAATAAACTTAAGATCTTTCTTGGTATTTAAGGCATGCTTTAGTAATTTTTCTATTAATAGATTTTCTTATAATTGTATGTTTTCTATGAGGGCTAAGTGGCAGAAGGAATAAAGATCAAGAATATAAACTAATTAATGTTTACTATTTATTTCACACTTTTATACTATTCGTTTATTCATCAATGAACATAAAAAATATCATATAATTCTTTTATTATAACTATCCTTCATTCATAGGTTTTCTGAAATTCGGAAATCAAAATTTGGGAGGAAACAGTGGCCTTTTTGATATAAGTTTGGCTGCACGTTGGGTAAGAGAGTACATTCACTTCTTTGGAGGTAACCCAGGAAGAATAACCGTAGCAGGTCAAGGATCTGGCGCAAGCTCTGTTACACACTTATCTTTCCACAAATATTTCGGAAGTAAGTTTACTTTGATATTTTCATGAATATCGAATCTCAATTTAATTTTAAAACGTGATATTTATTATTAGTTTAAATATCTGGCATTGGTATGACCATATAATGAATCATAAATATTCATAAAAATATTATTTACCCTTAAATTACTAAGTTTTTTAAAAATAAATATTTATGATGTTTCAACTGCCTGCCTCAGTGCTACATCCTACGAACTGATGAAGACCTACAAAGTGGGTCGAAACATCGGCAAAAATGAAATAATTCTACTTATTTAATTCAGTATTAATTTGACTGCACCCCCCGATCAACTTCTTCTCATAAATATTTATGGTTCATAAAAGTTTTATATAAAAAAAAAAAAAAAAAAAGAAAGTAAAAACTAACAGTAAGGCTGTTAATGAACTTATTATAATAAAATGACATGAAATTAAGATTGTTTGGTTTTATGCTGTGGTATCTATAATGATATGAAAAAAAAAGAACTTAAGAATAGGAGGTCACGAATTTTCTAATAAATAGCTTCAAAAATTACTAAAAAAAAAAAAAAAAAAAAAAAAAAAAAAGAATAAATAAAACTTTTATAAACTTTTTCATAAGAGAATGGTTATATTTTGTTTATTTGCTAAACAATATCAATAAAATTGAACCACTAAAATATTACTTGAAACAAAAAAAAAAAATTTTGCCATTTTCAATATTGATAACTTGTAATGAAAAATATCTATCTGTGAAACTGACTAGAAAAGTTTATTTCTTCTTTCTTTATTAGGAAGTTTTATGTTTTACTGTTGAAGTTGGAAATTATAATTCCATGCGACTGATGTATATTTTTATTTATAATTTTTTTTTACATTTGTTTAACGTTAGAGAAATGTTTATCCATTATCAGAAACATATTTATTATTGTTAGACCCATCTCTGTGATACAAGAAATAATTATTTGTACATTTTTCTAGTTTGCTACATATTATTAATTTGTACTATGTCTATATGTCTTTTGATTGTGTCCCCTTTGGCATTTTATAAAATTTGCCTACTATTACTTTTCATTAGTTAAACGTTTTCAGGAGTAACATACATATTAACCAATAATTGGTTTGGTATAAGATTTGTACCTTTTCTTTCCATACCTTCCTTCCCTTCTGTTTATATAATATTTGCCTGTTATTATGATTAGGTTTTTTGGTTTGATATATTTTAATTCTATTTATAATGTCTGCATAATGTACACCCAAGTCTTTGGTGTCTATTTTGTATTTCACAGTTATTTTTGGTGATATATGTCGCTTCCAGTAATTTCCAGTTATTATTTTTTCTGTTCAATGTCTATTATTTGTGGATTATTAAAGTTGAAATTGTGTTGCATTTGTATGCTTTGTTGTGCTAGTGTGGCATTGTTGTCATTTTTAATGCGTTGTTGGGTGTTTCTCCAATGTATATTTTTTAACCATTTTAGCATTCTATTTTATGTCTGTCATATTTTTTAATCTAATGAATCTATTCTGTTAAGAATTATCTTATAAAAATCACTAGCTGAATTAACATAACATTCATTGATTTTTCCACTGATGTATATTTCACTGAGAAATAAAAATAATTAAATAATAATATAGAATCAAAATAATTTACAGATTTTTAAAATTTCCTATTAGGGCATATAAAGGGAATAATATCAATGAGTGGTGGTCCAGTTTCTCCATTCGCATTAGATCAAAGTGCAGACAGATCCGGCGGTGAAGTTGTGCAAGCAAATAGCTGCACTGGTAGAGGAAGCATTAGTACCGTTCGCTGCTTGCAAGCTTTGCCATTTGAGAACATCGTTCAAGAGGATGGTAACATTGAACAAGTAAGTAAAACCAGTTTTAACAACTATGAATATAGTTAATCATTGACAATTTATAAATAAATAAATTAACTCTACAATTTTATGAAATTGTACTATTATAAAAAAAATTGAAAAATTATGGTAATAATATTCTATAGGTTGAGACCGAGGAATGAAGAAATATAGGTTGAGGAATAAAGAAATATATAAGAAAACAACAGATCTAGAAACTGACGCTAGGATGGGAAGGCTGAGGTTCTATGGCCATATGATGAGGATGAATCCTGAAAAACTTAACCATAAAATTATTCAGCGAATCCACAGTCATAAAAGTTTAAGCGGTTATTTCAAACAGGTTAAGGACGATATGGACCAAGTGAGGCTAAGATACCAAGATTGTTTGGACAGAGATGAGTACAGGAAGGCGCTCAAGAGAAAACGATTCTTGTAGGAAACAAGCACTCCAAAAAGGGTGTTGCGTGGTATGAGGAGAGAAAACGTAAGCAAACGGAGCTCATGAGGGGCATATGGGAGAAGAGGAGGCAGATGAAGAGGAAAATTCATGATATTCGCGTGGTCTTTAAGGCCTGTTCGTGAAAAAAAAAAAATATATTCTATAAATTTCCATGTATACCTTATCATAAATTCAGATAATTATTCAAACTAGAACTTAAAAAATAATAAACTTCGAACAACCAAAGTGTTACTTTAATGGACACTGTGACAGCAGATAGGGATAAAAGCCTTTAACTCAAATAGTTTTCTTATCATATTTCAACTTTCTAAAGATAACCTAGATAAAATGTTTTATAATTAAGATGGAATATAAATTATTTAGATGAAATATTTCTAAAGGTAATTTAGACAGAAATTATATTACTACAACTTACATCAAATAACAATATTAATAATTGGGAGGAAGCACCCTCTGTGGATAAGGGACTATTAACATGAAGTTCTTCTGGAGGATAAAGTTGAGTTGTTCTCTCTGCCATATACAGAGAATACAAATTGAATTTTCCTCATGAAAATTATGGCGAAGTTGATTCCAAGCATTCACTGGAAATGAGCATAGGTGATACTAGCGAAGTCGCACTACAAAAATATACACAAGCTGTTCTGTAAGAAATCTTATTGTAAACATTCATATTAAAATTAAAAGATGTTGGCTGGAATAAATCCTTACAAATTAAAATATATAATTTTAATGCTGATAAAATTACTGACAAAATAGTGTTTCATAATATAAAATAGTAATAGAGAAAATTATTCCAAAACAAACACTAGATTTACCAATAAAAAGTAGATAGATATTTAGATAATCTGTCTAATTTCTTACAAAGAATTTCTACTTTTAACATATATATTTAATATTTATGCTCTAAGTAAGTCCTATAAATATTAAGTAATTTATCCGTATTTTATTTAAAAAATAAATGTTGATTTTATCAGCTAAAATAAATATTACTACAAAGAGATTTAAGTAATAATTATAAAAAGCCACAGAAGCAAAAAAGAAAAAAAGTAGAATTATAAAAAAGAAAGTAGTCTCTATATATACTTTCATGTTCTGAAAACTGGTAATGATGTATTTTTTCAATGAAATTTTATTATGATATTCACTTGAACTTCAAAATTTCCACCACTGTTGATGATGATATCCATTAATTTATTTTATTCATTAGAATTATTAATTAATCTGTAAACTTCTGACACAGGGTAATATAAATGGTGTCATTAAATATTGTGGGTAAAACTGATGCTACCCTTAAAAATGCAGACTGATTTTGATATAAAATAATTCCATTTTATTCATACACATAAGTTGTTATAATATAATATATTTTTCATTTATGATATTTACAACTTTATTAATATAAATACACCAAATAAATGTGTACATAGAAATATAATCACATGAAAACGCTTGTTGAGAAACTACCTATTGGTAGCACTCTAATAATATGTCTACAAAAGCAGATCACACGGCCATCTTTTTTTCAGACGCCTCGGAGGATTATTAGGAATTGAAGAGGAAGCAATGTTAGAACAAGAGGATTCGGATGGTTATGTAGTTTATTATGGAAGGATAGATATCTTGATTGGACCAAATCAGAAACACATGGAACATTAAGGTCTTTATGGATTATTTTATTTGTGACAAAGTAAGGAGTATTAAGGATTTTACGAAGGATTTTGGATTATAAGGATTTGATACGAGAGGAATTCGATGGTTTAGTGGAGCCCCATAGCTCAACTCCATAAGTCCAAATAGGTCTTGTTATAGTCATGTATATGAGACTTTTCTAATATATTAGAAGCTTAGGTCGTTTCTCTAGTAAGTGTTGGAGTAAGCAGAAACGTCGAGCTGTTTCTTGTTGTTTCAGTCTCGTATGAGGATTCCAAGTGAGACGTTTGTTCATGAGTTCTAGGTATTGGATTTGTTCAACAGGGATAAGTGGGGTGTTATAAAAGGATACTGTAGGACAGGAAGTCATAAGTTTACGACGAAGGGTAAAGGTGATTTGATGGGATTTATTAGAATTTATTTTAATCCTCCAGTTTTGACACCATTCTTCAAGGTTTGTGATGTGTGATTAAAGAGTTTGGGATACTATTGATTGATCGTTATTAACTGAAAGAATACATGTGTCATCGGCATATCTGGTGATGACAGTGTTAGGATGGGTTGGGATATCAGCTGTATAAACTGTGTAAAGGATAGGACCAAGGATACTATCTTGAGGAACACCAGCAGATTGAGAAAAGAGGGATGAATAGGCATTATTGTGATTTACTTTGAAGTGTATATCAGTAAAGAAGGAACTGATGATGAGAAAGTATGTAAGGGGGAGGGGGGAAATTTACGGAGTTTGTAAAGCAATCCCGGGTGCCAGACTCAATCAAATGCCTGTTTAACATCGAGAAAGACCCCAGTGCAATACATTCCGCGCTCCATTGCAGAGGAGACAACGTCTACCACACAATGGCATTGCTGGATAGTGGAATGGGATGTGTGAAATCCAAATTGGTAATCAAGGATTATGTGGTTAAAATTTAGGATGGAATTCAGGCCTCTTAAGATGAGCTTTTCCAGGATTTTCCACATGATGGGTAAAAGAGCGATAGGATGATAAGAGGATGGGTATAATATAATATTAAATGTTTGAATTGTCTTGGGTATTTAATAAATATCTTAAAATAAATATAATCACTACTTTATATCGGTAAATATTTCAGGCAAAGAAGAAAGGGGAGAAAAATGTAGGCAAGAAATTGACGAGCCTTTTCCTTTCTGGACCAAATGTAGAAGGAGCCGATGACAACAGATTCCTCCCGAATTTCATCGTAGAGCCTCCTTTAGAAGCTGCTTCCCATCATCATATTCCCAATATTCCTCTTCTGGTAGGAGTCACTAAGCAAGAGACTGGAGGTGGTGTAAAAGGTAAGGTATTTTTAATATACTTGTATAATAAAATAGTTTTAATTAAAACAGGAAAGAACAAATATTTTTAAATTTTATTTTTGGCTAGAGGTCTACAATCTTTTTATCCTGAGTTCCATAACTTCCATACTAAGATGGCTTTTACCTAGCTAAGCTAGGTTATTAATTTAATTTACTTAAAATACTCATAATCACAATTACAATGTAAAGTTTTATTAAATATTGTGTTGGTTAAATATAAACATCTTATTATTTTGTAAGATTTGTTCATACAATATAAAATAATAAAATGGACCATGGGGACAAATTTAGACAACAGGACATTGTTTTGAGACCTCTGTTTCAGCTCAAAATATAATTTGAAACCAAAACCTGCTCGGTTTTATACCTAATTTAATTCTGGGTTTAACTTTTACTCATAGACTATTAGTTGCCGCACTATGATAAGATGGATATCTTACTTTAACTAGTTTACTCCAAGGCTAAATAGTAACCGGAAATATATTTTAAATCAACCTTCAATTAATTTTTTACTCAAACCAAATTTATTTTAGATATTGAATTATAAACTAATAAAATTTATACAGCGGGACGGGCAAAAGGTTTTTATGGAAATTAAATATTAACACATCATACTAATGGTGAAAACATTAATTTTAATATCAAAATGCAACTTGATGTGTTATTTAATTATTATGAAATATAAACTGTATTAATGAAGAAAAAAAAAAATTTCTTCTTTCATTATGATAAGATAGCAATTCATTTAAGTTTCTTTATGTGTCAACAGTAAATAGTAAAGAGCTATATTTCCATTATTTACAAAACAAACTCGTTAAGGTAAGAAGATCCTGGTTTATAAACAAACAAAAAAAAACTTCATTAACGAAATATTTTACAATACTTTAAAATAAAATAATAAAGAATCTTAAATAAACTACCTACTGTAACTGGACTATTCTTTTTTACATTAAATAAATGGTTTGATATTCCAGGCAACTTATTGCAAGATATTACTAGTCTATTAACAACAGCAACTTTCATTACACAAGGAATCTTCAAAGATTTGTTGACTGCAAATACTGGTATTATTAATTGCAAATATCTAATTCTTTTATATTATATTTAATTATTTTTTTATTTTTATTCATATTAACCAATGGATTTATAGGTCTTTATGTTAACAACACTGTCAATCCAGGTTTAAGTAAGCTTTTCGACAGTAGTCAGTATTTACAATTTTTCGATACTCTAATCGGCAGTGCTCTTAGTGGCATAGAAAAAGTTGTCCAGGTATTTATTTAAATTACTTAAAAAATAATTGAAATTTGTATTTTATTTTTACTTTGCCATTTAATATTTTATAAAAAGATATAATTTCATGAGATATTCACACTGATATCTGTTTTTTCTTCCGATAGCACACAACTGATGCACTTTTCAATTTGCCAGCATTTATTTTATCCAACTTCTGGGCTCAAAAAAATAAAAACGTGTATCTCTACAGTTTCGAACACACTCCAGCTAAATCCATTGCAGATTATTTCTTAAATGGAATTACTTTAGTTTCAAATATATCTTCACAAGAGGGCAACAATAAAGGTATACAAAAATTTCATATAAAACTCTTAGCATTATTTAATATTTAGCATTTCTTTCATATAATTTTAATTTTATCTTTTTAAATAATGAAGTACAAAAATAGTTCACGAAATTGGCAATGTGTTATTCATATTCAATGTTGATTCATTTTAAACAATATTAATTTTTATTATTATTAAGAATAATGATCATCATATTCTTTTTCTACTCAACGCTACACAGTGTAAGATTAAAGTTTGCATGGACTGGACCACAAGTCCCAATCTTGGGACAACACTCTATACCTGTTCCAATCTACGTGTCTATTCCAGAATACTTCTAAGACACTGTCTTCTCAGGAGATGCAGAATTTTTCTCTTGGACAACTACACCTTACACAGGTCTAATAGGTCTTGGCGGTTCTTTCAGGGATCCATCTTAAGAAGGTGTCCGAATTATTAAGAATGACAAATGAAATTTATAAAAACAGATTTCCTTCTTTTAAAATTTCATCTAATCAAATTATTGGAACCTTCAAAACGACTTGCTGCTGAGCTTGTTATAGTTGTTATTTTTCAACAAACATTCTGCATAAGTGCTAAATTAGTAGGATGAACTGTTTACTGTACTTTTGGCCTGTTTTAACAGTACATTTTCAAATATTGCTTTATTCAGTTGATAACTATGTACACTAACTTGAAACTTAAGATGAATTTCCGTTATTTAGTTATTACTGTAAACTTAATGCATTCCTAGATTTACAAACATAATTTCATTGTGATGTTTGATTGCAAATGTTTTTTTATGATAATTACTTAGTTATAGATTAGTAAGGAAAAAAAGTTTTTGTTTAAATAATTATGACAGTAAGACATACATTCATGTATATTTTTGTAAATGATAAAGTGTCATCAATGATATCAAGACTTAAGATCTATAAAGTAAATTTTTAAATTCCATTTTGAATTGAGAAACAGGATAAAGTGTCCTGTTCAGTTACATCTTTTGGGCAACAGTCAAGATTTTGACAAATTTACCAGATGAAGATCATAATATATCTACCAGCATTATTTATTTCATAATTATTTTAGTTCAAATAATATGTCGTTAATATATTTTTTTATTTAAGGTCCATCTCATGGTGATGATTTAGCCTTCCTTTTTGAAGTGAGAAACATCGATGGGGAGCCATTAAATAATGTTGATAACATTTTAAGTGAAACTGACCAAAAGGTCAGAGATCACTTCGTAACTGTTGTGGCTGAATTTGTTAAAACTGGGTAAGTTTTCTTTTAACATAACAGTACATAACTATAAAATTAATGTAAGTGCGGTTTCATGATTGATATAAATAATGAAGAATTTGTTTTTTTATAATATACCACATTGATAATCAAGGAGTCGATGGCATGAGTGGCAATTAAGAATAGTATAAACAAATATTCTAAAATATACACTGACAGGCAAAAAATTCCACCCACTTGTTACCCATTAAGGAACCACGTTGGAAAAGTTGGCTCTGGGAAAAATTACAGGCTGCATATCTTTCGTTTCTTCTTCTCCACACCCTTTCACGCCCGTCTGGAGATCGAAGAGCGAATCTTGACTCATCTGTAAAAAGTACACTCCATTCGTCCATAGTCTTGAGCAAAAGCTACTCGTGTTACTCTGTGAGTTCTGGTCAACTCTGGTCCTCTTACTGGATGAAAAGCCATTAATCCATACTCATTTAATCTTCTCCGAGCGGTACGTTCAGAAATTTGAAACGTTCAGAAAACACACCTAGAACTTCTTCGAGCTGATGAATCGCTTGAACAACTGTAAGCTGCCGGTTTCGTAAAATTCTCAAAGTCAAAAACTGGTCATCCTGTGATTCTGTTACCCTAGGCCGTCCAGAACCGGGCCTTCTATTGTAAGAACCAGTTTCCCGAAAACGCCGGACGGCGTCTCGTAAAGTTTCATAAGGAACTCCGATGGCATTAGCTGCATATCTAATGGAACGTCCATCATCAATAAGTGCCACACCACGCGCAACATCCTCAGCACTAAGAGGCATTTCTAAACTTAATATTGAAAAAATTAAAAGCCGGAGACCAAGAAATGTGCTGCAAGAAACGGCACTGAACTAATGATACTGAATAAACATTTTGATTCCATAGAAAGTAAACATTGGAATCTAGAATCATTTCATTGAATTAAGGATTAAGGGTTATAGTCCTCTATATTAACATTCCTAATTGAAAACAAACAAAAAGATTACCTATTTATTCATTAAAAACAATAGACCAATCCAAAGCAGAAATATTTTTAGATGAAAACATGAAAAAATCAAGTGGGTGGAATTTTTTGCCTGTTGGTGTATATTGAATGCTGTAGTTTCGGCTCATGTTGCATTCCTTCATCAGGGATACAGGGTAGCACAAAATGAATTTATTTTATTCATTATAACATAAATAAAATTGTCAAGATTGTCAAAGGTTTTTTTTTTTTAAAGTTAATACTTTTCATGTACATATTTTAGATCCAATAAAAAAAAAAAAAAATCATGTAATAGATATTCCATATAATCAGGGATAGATATATTTTATTTTCCATGTATCTACTAAATAATAATTTTATCTTTAATGATTAGGAAACCAAGAATTGATGGAGCTAACGACTGGTCTCCATTCAATACTGAGGAAGGCAGTTACATGATCATTAAGGATAATCCAAAATTGAAAAAGGGATTCCGAAAGTGTAACATGGGACTGTGGACTGGAGATGCTGACATGTTGAAGTCGACTGAATGCGCACTCAATGGAGCCAGCGAAATTGTTACTAATACTCTCGGTTCTGCAGGCACTGGTCTTTTAAAAGCAACTACTGGCGTGACTGATGGTCTGTCTAAAACAGTCACTGGAATAGGATCTACTCTTACAGGTTCGATACCTAAAGGTACTGGTGGTCTCCTTGGTGGGTTATACAAAGAACCTGCTAAAAATAACAATAATAAGACCCCAAATCTAGGCCTTGGAGGGCTGTACCAAGAACCTCCTAAAAACAGTAATAAAAACCCTACCTCTGGCGGACTCGGATCCAGCTTACTTAAAAACCCATTTGGTTAGAAAAGCTATGAGTTGTTAACATGTTGACTGCCAACTAAGAGATTATTTGTAGTTTCATTTATTGCCTAGGAAACCAACAACAATGTATCTCATATCTACATTTATTAACTCATAGTTGGATTTTGTTAAGAGTTTTATGGTATATAAGCCAATTACAAGATAATTTTCCACTGCTATTTTTTTTTCTTAAAAGGACATTCTTTATTTAAACTTTTTGATGATTAGAATGTACAGCAAACTTCCTTTCATCTGACACGTTTAGGACTTTGAAAAAATTATACAGTTATTCACGAGTACTGGTTTTGATTGGTATGTTTTAAACAGCCATCATTTTTTTTTTCCTCAATGGTTGGGATGCCAAATTACAATATATTCTTATTAATATTAGGAAAAATGTGAATTATACAAAAAAAATAGCAGTAAAAAGCTGTATTTTTTAAAAACATATTTAATAGTATATATATATATATATATATATATATATATATATATATATATATATAAATATAAAAATGTAATTTGAAGTTGGAAGCCTATATTAAACTTTTATTTGTTTAAAACTTCTAATTATGAACAAACTTGAACAAGACACAACTATTTTGGAATCTTAATTTTTTTTTTGAGCATGGCGGACTGTAGCAGAGGAAGTTTACAATTACCATACATGATATGATTAAATTAAATCAGCTTTTTAAATTGACAGAAATCTTAAAAAATACCATGGTAGTCAACGTGTTAACAGCTACTGACCAGTATTAATTAAAATATTGTAAACAAATATTTTCTTTATAAATATTCAATGCGAAAAAAACAAAACAATACATTATGTCATTGGATTTAGTGAATTGTAGAGGTCTCAGTAATGTGAGCTGGATGGAACCTAGGCTCCTTCGGGTTATGGTAATAATGTTAGCTACACAATTACGATGTGTATACACATACTTAAAGATTTCAGACATTATTTAATATTTTTTTTCTTTTCTTAAAAATGCAAAATGAAGATATATTACACTTACAAACATTTAGAAATAAAAAAACTATTAAAATCTTTATATAATTTATATAGGTTTTTTAAAGATTAAAAATAATCAAAAAAAGAGTTTAGATTATTGAAAACTCAGATTATTGCCTATTACAGCATCACTAAATTTGATAAAAAATAATCACCCAACTTTGAAATAATATATATATATATATATATTTTTTTTTTTTTCAAATGTACTAGAAGTTCATTATCTAATGTGAGGTATTCCCTTCTATGGAAATTTGTAAAAAAAATTTAAGAAAAATAATATTTTTTGCCAATTTTCTTCAACATACAAAATTGTATCTAGTTATGAATTGTTAAATGTTTTGAAAAACTATTAATAAAAAAATGTTCATATATTCTTTATATTTATCTACATAATTTTATGTAAACTTTTTTTTTATTATTGAATTATGACAAATAAATTAAACAAAAATACGTAATTTACAGCAAAGATTTTATTCTCATCTTATCCACAATTTTTTTTTTTGAACAATTTAATAAACACCAATAACATCTTCTACATTTCTATGAGGCAGAGGCAAAGGACTCCGTGTCCATTTTTCATTAGATAATTTAGTAACTAAGAAACAAATTTTAGTAGCTCAAAGTAATGGAAAATTGACTCGCTTGAACAAATACAAAAATGTGACATGTTGTCCTTTACCTCCAGCATACAGATTTTAAAAATACTATTTCCGAAATTTATTTATAGAATTTTAAGTAACATCAATATTAAACTAGTCCTGATAATTCATGTTTTGAGGTCATTACAAACATGAAACTGCACACCAATTCACATGTAAGACCTTGTATTTCATCAGTGAAGAAACTGAAAAACATTATAACATTATAACATTAAACACATGTTTGGATTTAGGTATTTTCCTTGAATCATTAAAAGTACACCAAAACTTGGCCGATTTTGAGATGTTAATACAGTTTTTGTTCCTACTGTAAAGTGATAATTTTCAAGCAATTTGATTGCTCAGAATAAATCACAAGTTGAATAAAACTGGTAAAATTTCAATGGATTTGAATTGTACAACAATCAAAAAGATATTCAATTTACCAAATAAGGTTCTAAAGACTAATACATATGGTGTTATAATTTCAAAATGGTTCAAGGATATCATAAATACAAGAGAATACTATTTAACATTATATTATCAACTTTCTTTTTTAAAAATAAAATTTTACATTAAAAACAGTTTTAAAAAATTTACTGTAACAGTAAAAATCTTTCAAAGGAGTTATTCATCGACTTCATCAACAAATGAACTCAACATTTCATCGTCACTGTCTTCGACAGTTAAGAAATGCTCTTCGCTTACACCGTTAATTTTAGTTTTTTTAGAAAGGGGATTCTCTATCTCTTCTAAATTTCGCTTCTTCACTGTTTCAGACGTTTCACTCTGTTCAACAACTTCCTTTCCATTTGTTTCGACTTCATTAACAACAACTTCCAGTTTGTTTGTTTCGACTTCATTGTCAGAATGAGAATCAGAGTTTGCTGTACTAACATTCTGTTCAGAACCTACAATTACAGTTGGCCTGCTAGATTCGGAGTCATTGCTGTGACTGAAGGATTCCGAAGCAGCCATTATCTCAGTATGTTTATTAACTTTATCTTCTTTATCAATATCGACTTGTTTTTCGATCATTTCATTATCTAGACGGAAAATAGATTTGTCAAAATCTTGAAGAAATGTTTCACTAACAGACTCACTTTGAGTTGAATTTAAAATGTCATTAGATTTGGGAGTCGAATCGAGGAAACTTCTATTGCTTGCATTGTTAAGAGATTTTCTGCTATCTCTACGATGCTTTTCCTTGTTAAAATAATTCATGCCTTCTTCGATAGTTTGGTATTCCAATGATGTGAAAGGCGGTTTCAGTATTTTCCCTACACTATTGAGAGCATGTACACAGAACGTCAAAACCTGTCAAAGAACAATATTAATTTAAATAAACCTTCTTTCAACAAATATAAAAATTATAATAATTTGTAATACAATAAAACCTCATTTAAACAGCGGTAAAAAGGAAAAGAGAAAAATAAAATAAGGTGACTAATTTTAACAGTTATGCTATCATAAGAACTAAACTATTCATATTAAAAGGGCACTATTAAAGTAAAACTTGATCTGTTGTAAACCTAACCAGATAAGAGGGTCTCAACTGTGTACTTCATTGAAATGGCTAATAAATTAAAAAAAAAAAATTATTCTTATACTAAAAAATAAATAAGTTTAATTCATGCATTTACTATTTAAATATACGAGGGTGGTCTGAAAAGTTTCCGACCACAACGTAAAAATGGCAGCACTCGTAAATAAAAGCAAGTGAATTTTGTTGTTCATCTGTTGACAGCTACCCACCAAAGTTTCAGCCATTTTGGACGCGCAGTTTTTATGTAACAGTCGTTTGAATGAGTTGATGTGAATGTCTTCGTGAAAATGGACAAAATTGAGTATCGAGCTGTCATTAAATATTTGTTTTTGAAAGGCAATACGCCTACGCAAATCAAAGATGAGTTGGATTCTGTCGGTGGGGACTCTGCACTATCATTTACCACAGTGAAATTTTGGGCAGCTGAATTTATAAGTGGCCATAAGAGCTTGGGAGATGATGGATGTTTGGGACGTTCAAAAATTGCAACTACCGACGAAAACATTGCCAAAGTTCACCAAATGGTGGTAGACGACCGCCGAATTAAAGTGAGAGAGATAGCACAGGTTATGAACATGTCAAAAGAACGTGTTTGTTATATATTAAAACAAATTTAGATATGAGAAAGCTTTCCGCGCGCTGGGAGCCGCGTTTGCTCATGTTAGATCAAAAATGTGTTCGAATGAACATTTCCAATGCTGTGTTGGCGCAGTTTAGGTGCAATAAATCCGAGTTTTGGTACCGATTAATTACTGTAGATGAAACTTGAATACACCATTATACGCCCGAAACAAAAAATGTTCAAACAATGGACTGCAAAGGGGGAACCGGCTACAAAAAAAGCAAAAACTGTTTGTTAATGGCAACTGTTTTTTGGGATAGTCATAGAGTTATTTTAATTGATTATCTTCAAAAAGGAAAAACCATTACAGGAGCATACTAAGCATCATTATTTGACAAGTTGAAGGCAGAACTGGAAAAACGGCCACATTTGCTGAAAAAGAAAATCCTGTTTCACCAAGACAATGCACCGTCTCACACCTCAGCTGTTGCCAAGGAGAAAATCCACATATTATGGTTTGAACTGCTTGACCATCTACCTTACTCACCAGAGCTAGCCCCAAGTAACTTCTTTTTGTTCCCTTATCTAAAAATTGCGCTCAGAGGACAGAGATTTTCGTCAAATGAAGAAGCAATCATCTTCATGAACAATTATTTTGCACAGAAAAACCCCGAGTACTTTTTGGACGGGTTACAGAGATAGGAGCATCGCTGGGAGAAGTGTGTAGAGTAACAATGAGACTATGTTTAAAAATAAATAAAAAATTTCAGAAAAAATGTCTTTTATTTTTCTTGGGTCGGAAACTTTTCAGACTACCCTCGTATATCATCGGTTTATTGCAAAAAGTCATTGAGTGACATTTATCCTTGAAGAGCCATGCAGTAAAAGGAGGAAGCACTCATTCTGGATAGAACAGCTTTTAAAAAGCTTACAGGGACCTATACTTGTCACTGTAAGCTAAACTAGGGATGGTCATCGATGGTCAATATTATCCAAATATTGATATTATCCTTCCGATATTTGATATTATCGACTTCTTTATTTTATCCCTTCTATATTTTAATATAAAAATAAAAACTATTTTTTTCGAAAGTGCTAGGAATTATATATGAATCTGATCGTTATAAAAAAATTGGTACTTGTTCAATAGCGGGTAGCGTCCGACTGCTATCTGCCAATGTTTATAACCTTAACAATGATAACTCTGATATCTTCTTATTCATATTTATTGTATTATATTCATATTATTGAAATTGTAAACAAAAGTACAAGCAAGAACATGAAAGCATCTCCAGTTCATCTTCCCGTCGAACTTCATCACAATATTTCACCTTTGCAAATATCCCAGCGTCTTAAAAATATTTGATAGCCTCTTCTTCTGAAGACGGCAATTCGCACAATGTGACAACATCCAAAATTAAATAAGACTATCTCATAGCTTACACAAAGAACAAGAAATAAACAAGGGAATAAGTTAGGTTAGAGAAGATAAGGGAGGCTATGTGAAATAAGATTAGATAACAAGGGAGGTTTTGACGCTACCCGCTATTAAACAAGTACCAAAAAATTTATACTCATCTTGCCTTTTTGATATAGAGAATGTAGTGCGTAATAGAGGAAAATGTCGATACTTCACTAATATCGACTATTGATGGCCATATTTAAATAGAGACGAATAGCGTGCGTGGGACCCTTCTTACTCAGTAAACTCAATTTGCCCAAATTTGTTAGTTAGAATCTTCTCAAACTGAGCCAAAGAATTGCCAATAAAATCTATATAGGATGCAAATAAATTAGCATTTCGCTGAATCTGATCTATTTATGAATGGAAGGCATAATTGGTTGAATGGAAATTTCTGGAAAAAAACTGAGGATGATGAAGATGGACAGGAACTAGAAAATTAATTTTACTAAAACAGGGTAGAAGAATTGATGTTTCTCTGATTTAATTTAAAGAGGAAAATAACATATTTTTTGAAGCACCTATGTGCTAAAGAATCAATATTTATATTAATATTCATATTACAAAAATGTTTATAATATCAATAAAAATATTGACTATCAATATTTCTAGTCCGACATTTTGATGGTATCCATAGTTATAGGCCTATATTAATATTGATATTGGATCTTTGATATCCCATCCTTAAGCTAAACTATTACATGTCCAATCTCAGACTGACTAGGAATCCACTATGTAGATTCTGTCATGATGAGAAACAGTCTTTCACATTATTTGTCAATGTGACAGGTTTGCTAGGTTTAAACTCAAGCTGTTTGGAAAGGACCAAGTGGTAGACCCCAAAAGCTATGAGTGTATTAACCTTATCAGCCTAAGATATGCGGAAACAACCAAACTAGCTTTTTGATATAAAACAGTTTACAACATTGTGCACAATAGATATCTAAAGTCGTGGTACATCATGCCACAAAAAAAAAAAAGTTACATTTCATAACCTTAAATCCACAGAACTTTGAAGAATTTTCTCTGCAAAATCAGAAAATTGTGTGCTTGTTGTATATACTTGATTATAAAAGGATCCCTGTCATTTTAGAGCACTTACTACACTTTATTATTGATAAATAAGGTTGAAATTCACAAAAACATTCATAAAACTTCAGCTCCAATAAAAAATGTACTTGGTGTCTTCTTGCAATAAAATGACGATACCTTTCTTTCAACGCATGATCTCTACCCATTTCTTCAAAATAAAAACTATAGAATTCTCATCAATAAATAAGAATAAAAAATAAAAATTAACAAACAATAAATAAATATTTATAACAAAAAAAAAAAATACCTCGATTGAAGAATCCTTCATTCCTTTTGAAAATATGGTAGCAGCGAAGTTGTTGGGAGGAGGAAAAGAGGGATGGTAATAGTCACAAAGCGCCAGAAGAGCTTTGTACAAACTTAGACGACAGCTTTCATCTGAATAAGGTATCGGGGTATCTGAAGGTCTTGAGTGTTGAATACGTAGCAATTTGCTCACAATGACATCTTGAAGAAGCTAACAAGGGAAATAAGAACAAAAATTATTATTTCATTTAATGAAATATAATTAAGATAGAAAACAAGGGTTAAAGAAGTTCTATTAAAATCTAAATTTGTATCCTTAAAGAGATAGTATTAGAACGAAAATTTGAAAAATATTATTAAAAATATTCAAGTACGAAGTTTATTACATCATTAGTCTAGAAGAAGACTACCATACTTCATAAATTACAAAACAAGATTTTATATTAAATTAGTGAGAAGAAAATTATGAATTTAGTATTGACGGTTACCGCTGTGAAAAAAATCTTCTGTATAAAATTTTGACACTTTTTAACATAAAGAAATCCATCAAAATTTTTTTAATAATCACTGAGAAGTGAAAGTATTCTTACGAATCAACAACATGTAATGTAAGTTTTGCAGCAGACATCAATAAAATATGAGTGAATAGAATTCTTTAGTAGGTACTAGTTCCGAATTGCAACTCCAAGATAATGGCTGGTTTAAAGATCGCTTAGGCACACTGTAGGAGGAATCCAAAAACAATACATAAGTAGACACAGACCCTTCACAACAGATTGTTAACATTTTTTTTAGGTTTAGTCACCAGCACGCTTACTACTTTTGATACATATATTATTTTGTTTTATTAAGAACAATATATAATTATGATGCAAGGATTTATTTAATAGCAATCAAGTTAAAACACTGGTGTGATAAAATTAAATGTTTACCTTATATGCATTTCCTCAATCCTACATCTTATAATCAATAATTAATATAATAATTTTAAGCAAGGGACTCCAAACTCCAAAAAATACCCAGGGCGAATCCCGCAAGCACCTTCAATCCCAGCCCGCGAAAGTTTCTTTGATGACATGGTCAAATTTTAAAAATACGAAATTTAGCAAATTATTCACACACGAGGTTACTCCAACATTGTTTATTATTACATGGGTTTCTTCTCTTAGAAAGCTTATTTCAAAGTTGAAGTGTCATTTAAAGAACAAGATTTTTTTACCATCTCAAGTCATGGCTCGCAGAACTTAGTCGAGTGTGTCAAAAGTTTGGAGACCCCTGATTTAAAGCATTATCTATCATTGAGTACATTTTACCACATTGTTATAATAAAATAAAATCTGGTGTGCGCATCACATGACTTTCACTTACCAACCTCTAAGCAGAAATAAGAATTTGCCAAGGGAAAGTGAAAGTAAAAATTACAGATGCTATATATTTATTTAAATTTTATTGTGGGTATTTTTATTTATTTAAACACCCTTATATATATACAAATTTTAATTTTTATATCACTGTAATCTACACAATTAAATATTAAATAATACCAATGATAGCATTTATGAAAACTGTACATGTACATAATATTGTCAGATTATATTAACAGTCCGTTATATTAACAGATTATATTATATGGTCTGTATTATATTAAGCTCATGTTACATATGGAAGCATGTCCTGAACATTCGCGTCAGCTCAGGCGCCTTCGTATTCATTTGATTTCTCTATTACAGCTGTTATCCGTTGCAATCTCTTATTTCTCCTTTAGTTAATTATTAAATTATTTCTTAGGTGATAAATATTCAGGACGCAGTCTTTTTAAATTTTTTATTATTTATGCCAACGTTTCAACCCAAAAATGCGGGACATCTTCAGGGCAGAAAATTTTATAAAATACAATCAGATATAATAGTATACAACCGATAATGGTAAATAATAAAATATAGTGATTGATGGTACATGAATCTTAACTAATATTGCAATACACATATTAAAAATGAAATATGTAAATAGTTATACAAACTAAAAATTACCATTATACAAATTAAAAAGGTACTTTTTGCTATCTGAAAAAGGATAATTGGGAAATCCTCTTCCTCTGACCTTTTTACTTAACCATCAAATGTGTCAGTACTTTAACACCCTCAGTGCTCAAACCACGGTTAGTAAGAGAAAATATTACAAATTTGTATAAATGCATTATATACATTATTTTTTAATTTTTAGTTTGTATAACTATTTACATATTTCATTTTCAATATGTGTATTGCAATATTAGTTAAGATTCATGTACCATCAATCACTATAGTTTATTATTTATCATTATCGGTCGTATACTATTATATCTCTGATTGTATTTTATAAAATTTTCAGCCTTGAAGATGACCAACATGTTTGGATTGAAACGTTGGCATAAATAATAAAAAATTTAAAAAGATTGCGTCCTGAATATTTATCACCCATGGTATGTAGAACAGTTGACTAACTTCCTTCAAGAATTCATCAAATTATTTCTTATTTTGCTATATGATATTCTCTGTTTTTGGCAATGATAATTTCCAAATATAAAACAATTGATTAATTTGTTGAATTTACATATTGAGTTTACATTTCGGGAAATTTATTCCCATCTTCAGAACTTACAATCTCATATTTTCTTAGTGATTCATGGCTAGAAAAGAGGTAATTAGCATTCTTTTTTAATTACCTCTTTTCTAGCCATGAATTTCTAAGAAAATATGGGATTGTTAATTCTGAAGATGGGAATAAATTTCCCGAAATGTAAACTCAATATGTAAATTTAACGAATAAATCAATTGTATATTTGGAAGTTATTGCCAAAAACAGAGAATTTTTTATTTTATATTTAACTATTTTTTATATGAAAGATTAATGTGAAATGGTTAATTATTTCAAATTAAAAAAATAAATGTACTTTAGGGGAAGCTCATACTGAAAATTAGCCATTTAAGCTCTGTTAGAGAACATCATGAGAATGAAACCTTCATTATATTAAAAACTGCTTAATAATACACTGATATACCGAGTTTCATCTAAATCGATAAAGCCGTTTTTGAGAAAATCGTTAAAATGTGTAACATCAATTATATAAATTGCCACTTCTGGTTAGCCGATTTTGACGAAAAAGTTTATGCAAAATCTCAGGCATATGCAAACCTTAAATATGCAATTCACTTTCATACGACTTTTTGTTTTTTGAGCTAGACTGGTCACATACATACAAACACAAACCATTTTGCGGGACTTGGTTATTTGGACTGAGGAGATCTCAAAACATGTATTTCTGTTGAAAACTCAGATTCAAAAATTTTCACAATAGCAATACTATCCCTTACTATATATTTCATATATAGGTGTGAAAATAAAAAGGAAAAACACTTTTTAGTTTTTCCTCAGTAAATAACTTTTTATGCATTTTAGGTAAAAACTATCATTAGGACATATCTGTTATTTGAATATCAACATAATTGTCAATACTTGGCTTTTTTGCATTCCCCGTGATTCCATTTACAGTGAGCTCGAAATGATCTTAAAACCTGATTTGCTGCCTTATGTCATAACCTGCCATCTTGTTACATTGATTCGGAACTAATACCACTTATTATAAAGGAATTTACTTATTGAACCCAAAGGTTTTTTAATTTAAAGTTATTTCTACTTCTTTACGGCATATTTAATTAATGCAAAACATTAGTAAAAATTCATTCAATTACCATTCATGTATTCTAGAAAATTGAAATTCCAAATGATATAATAAAAATAACATAAGATAAAGAATTTTAAAATAAGATAAAAACAAAGTAAAAGGGATAAATTACATTTTTTAAACAGTTACGCTTTTAAAACTAGCATCAAAAGCACCAACTAACAAGCTTTCAATAATTTTAAGGGACGGGACCAAAAACAATAATAATAATTAAATTGAGTTATTACTTTATGATGTTCAGGTTTCATAACAGTCGATGTCGACGACAAAATAGCTGGGATGAGGTCTAATGCTGATTTACATATATCTTTATCTTCTTCTTTGTAAACTATATGATCCAAAGTAATTGGTACTGCCTTTTTATGTCTGTGTTTTTTTGCTTTTCCTTTACCAGTCGGTACCTAAAAGTCACAATTTCATGTCTTCAAAATAAGAAAAACACACTAGACTACATTCAAATTTTAAACAAAGAAATTTAATTAACGAGTTAATTAAACAAATACATACAAAAATAAATTTTGATATGAAAAAGTTGTTCAACTCATTACTCATTGTTATTATTATTCCTTCACAAAACTTTTTAAGAATTATTTTTAAAATTTTAAATTTACACACATTCATAATTTAATTTTTCTCTTTATGATTAATAAAATCTTCAAAATAAATTACTTAGAAATTGGGTTGTAGTAGACATCCCTCTGTATTTACTCCTTCAGACGACATTGTGTGAGGGAATGAGAAGGAATATATAATATATAGGAATGTGAGGTTGCACTGTAAATTGTACTCAATTGTGCAGTGGACAAATTGCTCATTGGAAAATTTCATATCGATAAACAATCGATGAGGAAGGATGCTGGAAAAAGGTCAGAGCAGGTAGTTGGGAACAGATGGCGAAGAGGACGCCAATCACTTGAGGCCTGGACACCAACACAAGAAGAAGTCATCTGGGAAGAGAGGCTTACTACATTGAAGACTAAGAATATCAAGCCTACAGTTATTAGACTTTAATATATTCACTTATATCAGTTGTTAAAATAAATTCCTTTGTTAGACAGGAGTGAATAGTCCTTTTATTTAGTTGTCCTATAGGCCTCACAATTGAAGAATAAACCAGGTGAGTCAATTCATTCAAAGTGTATTTACTAAGTCCCACATTATATATATATATATATATATATATATATATATATTCTTATTGTTTCTTCTCACACAGTGTCACAAAAGTATTAGATTCCCAACAACAGTTAAACACCCTCAAAAGTCTATATCCAGTGCCGGGGTTTTGTTTTAATAATTCACGAGTGTAAATAACCTAAAGCCCCAATATAAAAGCGGAAGGCTATTCACTATTCCCACCAAAACTAATTATTTAAAATTAACTTTCAGTAGGTTATTTACAGGGTTCGTGGAAGAATAACACACAAGATTGAGATGGTACTTTTTAAACAGTAACAAAAAAAAGCTCCATATTTAGATAAAAATTTGTTTATAACAGTTAGTCTGAGAGGAGGTGACTGGGACGTGACCTGGGTCCACTGAAGCGACCATGTAACCCAGCTACCAATTTTATTAATTTACTTTCCAAATATGCACAAAAAATATTTTGTTGGGAGTTTTAACATTTTTATTTTAATAACATAATCTTCATTGACAAATTAAAAACTGAAAATTCGTTCAAGTACCCATTCAAATGAAATTAGGTTTCATTCAGTAATTAAAGAAAATTAATGAATTAGGTTTCATTCTCTAATTAAATGAAATGAATGAATTATGTTTCATTCACAAATTAAAGGAATTGAATTAGATTAACGTGCCCCTACCTTAAGGGTTAGTGCAGGTGGTTCTATATTGATGTCAGAAAGGATAGAAGATAAAATATCATCGATATGCTTATTGATTCCTGAGCAAGCATGGCTGACTGCAAGCCAGTTGGCAGTGCAGGTGTAAACTTCCACTCTGAGTGACCTGAAAAGAAATTTTATTAAATAAATGTATATATTTAATGCAATTATAGATAACAAAAGAGATGTTTAGTTGAATAATAAAGTATTATTAGCTAAATTACATTTATTAAATAAATTATGATTAAAATAATTCCTAATGAACAGCATTAATTTAGTTATTCGAATGTAATACAGCATAGGAAGAATGAGTTAAAAATCTTTGAATTACTTCTTCACTATTTATTTGCTTACGATCTCAGGTTAGCCATTATTACAAGCATTTAGTTGTTTAAATTCAATAGAAAAGACGTCTTCCAGTGTAATTCCTTATTTTTTCCTCTCAGCGCAACCTATACAAAAAGTTTCTATCTCAAAAGAGTTCTCATTTGACAAGCAGGAGAGGAGGACCACAATACCTTTCAAAAGTTTTATTATAAATTTTACTGTATAATATATACTTAGGGAGTTAGGCCCCATAACATTTTTTTTTCTTTATGACTTTATTTCCTGATTTTTTCAGGAATTTAATCTACACACGAAAATTGAAAGGACAAGAGAGAGAAACACTTTATTTTCATAAAATATAAAGGATTGCTGCCCAATTATATTGGGTTGCTATATACACAGTATAGTCTTCTATCCTTAGGACAATATATGAACTTATATATAAATATACAGAAGTATTAGTTAATATTAGTAAAATATATATATATATATATATATATATATATATATATATATATATATATATATATTATAGATATATATATTAGAACACTATAGGAAAGTTTCATCAAAATCGTTAGAGCCGTTTTCGAGCTATAGTCTATAGAAAAACATGTTTTTCATTTATTGCACACAGGCTATTACGCATGAAGCACCGAATTTCTCTCACAGACATCAGTAGTCAAAACCCTACAAAATAAAAAAAGAAGCAACAAAATCTGTTAAGTAGTTCCCGAGAAAATCTTGGCATAGACAGACAAACCAATGGCTAAAAATGTGTTTTTCGGACTCAGGGGGCTCTGAAACGTATCGGTTGAAAACCGCATATCGGAAATTTGCCCCAATTGCAATACTTTCCTTACCTAATATAGGCAGGAAAGTAATAGGTAATTACTTTTCAAAATAGGTGGCCAACCAGGAAGGTTAAACAAATAAATAGTGTAAAAGTAATAAGAAGACCTTTTACTAAATCTTCCTACATCTTTACATAGATGACATTTAATGGGCTTTCAATACCATAAAACTGAGAAACACTAATTTGAAATAAAACAAAATTTTAAATTAAAAAAATTACTTGTGAGGTTTTCCAATTCCATAAGGCCAGTTTTCTACATTTATCCAGTTAAGAGTTTGCGTCAGGATGCGACAAATGAAAGGAGAATAAGAAATCAAATTCATTTTGCAACTAGAAAAAAAAAAGAAAAGATAAAGATTAATACATAAGAAAGAAATCAGTTTCATTAAAAGGAATATTAAAATATTACTGTAATATATAAAACTGTAAAGTTGTTTGAATGTGCCAATTACAGGAACAATAAAAGCAATATTAAATAATTATTGTATTGTTACATAGATTGTTTTTTAGGAGAAGGCTTGCTTTATAATATATACCACACAAGATCTATAAGAATGAAACAGTGACAATAAATGGCAATCAATCTGGAAAATTGTTGTTAATCATGCTAGCACAATTTCTCGTAAATATTGTTTTAGTCATTATAAATGAAGTACAGTGACAAACTTTTCAACATATTGGAGTCAGCTTAGAGACTGTTTTTCTTTAAGACCACTATATGAGTGGCTACGTATTAGTTGTCATCTATCATTTTTTAAAAGTTGAGAAAAAAACAATTTTCTATAACATAGCTTCAATTTAAACTAATACTAATGATTTATTTTCATGAATTAACTTGAACAATCTAAAATAATTTTAACATCTTAAAATTATTAGAAACAGTTGAAGTTGGACCTATAAAACAAAAATTGACTTTTTCTCCACTTCCTGAAAATGACAGATCTCCGTCTTTGTATGAAGCTACTCATATGTCACATTTTCTACATTAGGTTAAGGAGATAAGTCGTATATATATGTATATATATACGACTTATCTCCTTAACCTAACCTAATCAAGCTTTCTTTTAAGTAAATTATCTCCTTTATAATTCTTTAAATGAACTATTTTTTTTATTTTATTTTCATAGAAAACTTGAAGACTGTTAAGTGCTTCATATGGTATCACTATTTTAAAAAAATAATCTAAGGTCTTCAAAATAGATAATATTTTAAGAGGTTAGATGGTCAAAAAAGAAATTTAATTAATGTGGAGATTATTGGGCATTGTGAGTTCTCACATATCTATTCACTAAGAGAACTTGAACCTCCGACCCGTGAGAGCTGTGATGTCCAAAAAACAGTCAAACATTATACAAGACTGTTGTACATTCAAAATAGAAGGAAAAAGATGGATCTGGCAACAAACGTCAAGGAAACTTTAAACAACAGCCAATTACACAGGCACAGTTCGCAATCAACCACTCCTCCATGAGGTGGAAAAGATAGTAACACCTGACTATGAGCTAAAAGCAATAGCAGTGGAAACTATAGCTCAAAAGTACCCTTCTCAGGTTGGCTTCACATTTTTACCGATAGGTCAGCTAAATCAGCAATTGGAGATGCTAGAGCAGGGATTTATTCAAAAGGAATTCCAGTTCAGCACTGCAGTGGGTAAGGATAGTACAATTTTGATGGTGAGATATCAGCAATACTCATAGCCTTAAGAACATTGTGTGGAAGGCAAGACCAGAGCACTGTGGAAGAAAAACGATAGTGTTTAATAGAAAACTAGATCCAAGAAGAGATGCAGAAGTCTGCTTCCGCCTGGAGACTGGCCATGACTTACATGCAGAGTCATCTCTGCAAGATAAGCATGGTTGAGGATCCTAAGTGAAATTATGTGATGAAGCAAAAATGGATGCAAACCACCTAGACACATGTCCTGCTTTGACGGACATAAGAAATAGAACAATTGTAAATAAATATATGAAAAAAATCAACTTATACTGGGCAGCAAGATGTCGGATGATCAAATGACCAACACCTTTGGCATAAGAAAAAAAAAAATAAATGCAATAAAAAGTTATTTCTTCTAAAGATGAAAAAAAGTTTGTAATAAATAACATTTAACTAATTTCATAATGAAAATTTAAATGTAAAGCTTACGTAGTTATTAGAGCATTCAACAGTTTAATGCAAGACAGATTGATCCTAGAGATAACTGTTAGCAAAGTGGAAATGTCAGCGGACATGTTTGCGTTCTTCAGGGTTATGCAATTCGTAGAGAGTCCTCTCCAAATTAGGTTCAGTATAGATTCTGGATGTATTTTCTTAGCAGCTGAAAATGATCCCCTAAAATATAAATAATACAAAAATAATTTTTATTCTATTTTATTTTTATCATGAACATATTTTTCAAAGAATTTATTCAAACAGCATCTCAACAAAAACAGATTCATATATAAAATAATAAGGCATCTATCACTCTAAAAAATGATGTAACATTTTAAAAAATTAAATTAGCGAGTAATTGAATAAATTTTGCCTTTGTGAAATCACAACAATATCTATTTACAATTAGTGTGTGACTTCTGATGTAACTTTATTTCAGTAAACTTTACATAGGAAAAATAAGAGTATAAGAACTAATAGCACTACAAACCATAATCACTTACAGGTTAAATATACAAATTTACTTTCAAATCTCTCTAAAAAAATATAGCACAAAGAATTAAGTGCTTGAGGTCTGCTATCAATCTTTTAAATATTTCCCTCTACTTACGTGACATCCTATTAATTTTATACATAGGTAAACTAAAGTAAAAAATTAATACTTACATAAGAAGTACATTAAGGAATTCAGAAATACTCTGAAATTGAGAAGCGAGTCTTTGTTTCTTTTTGAGCAAACTCTTCTCTGTAACATTTGGGATTGGAGGTTGGTAATCACCAACATCATACAAGTTATGGTGATCCTAAAAGAAGACAATCCTTACATTAACTTTAGAATTATCATGATGGTTCTCAAAGAATAATCACATATATAATATATTTTAAATGGAATAATATACTATCATCTGCACCTTGAATAAGTTCTCACTGTTTCCTAATAGATGGCAGCAATAGTACTATGTGTGTTTCATTTCAGATGGTCCCTATAAGACCGGGCATTTGTCAACATTATCCGCAAAGCCAAATATTTATGGTTCCAAGCTTCTCCTCAGCATTTGGTGGGATCAGCATAGTGTAATTTATTATGAGCTACTCAAACTGAACAAAAATATCACGAAGGATTGCTATGGACTATAATTGATGTGTATGAGCTGAGCCCGAAAGGAAAAATGACCGCTATACGAACAGAGACACCATAAAGTGATTTTATTACACGACAATAATCGGCCGCATGTTGCGAAACTGGTGAAAAACCTACCTGAAAACGATTAAATGGGAAGTCCTGCCCAACCTGCTGTCCCTTCCGACTACCACTTATTTTGTTTGATGGCACATGTCCTGGCTGAGCAGTATTTCCATTCTTATGAAGATACCGAAAAATAGTTAGATTCTTGGATATGCTTAAAAGATTAGTCATTTTTCTGATGTGGAATTCATATGCTGCCAGAAAGATGGGAGAATGTAGTGGCTAGTTATGAGCAATATTTTAAGTAATACGGTTTTTACCTCTTAATTTAAAAAAATCATTAATATTTATAAAATTAAAAAAAACAAAAAAAAAAACGAGAACTTATTCAAGGTCCTTATATAAGAAATTGATCTTAACCAAGAATAATAAAATAAGTTTCAACACATTTTGTTGGAAGTATGACATGTTAAATATGAAGATAAAGAAAGCACATCAAAATTTGTAGAAAACAGAAAAAGATGGACAAGGTAAACGCCTGAAACATCATCAAATAAATTGATTAAGAAAAAATAAAGTTTCAATTTTTTTTTCTATAAATTTCTTTTATTTTAAGGGATATTATGTGTTTTTAGTATCCACTATGGTATCATGACATGAAGGCGGGCATCTATTAAGATGGGTGGGGCATACATCAGGAAGCTTGTACACAACAATGAATGTCTCAATAGTAGGCAAAAGACTAAAGAGGAAGGCCAACAACCAGAAAGATCGATCGCATTAACAAAGCTGTAGAGCTACATGCAAATAAGTGGATAAATAGCCCAAGACAGGTATATTTGGAGAAGGCTGGTTAAGGCAGCAAAAGATCTAAAAGTTCTGTAAAACCAAAAAAAAACAAGTTTTTATAACTGAGTGAAAGCATGAGATGTTTACATTCTAATTTTTAATAAAATTAAATTTGGTAGATCTTATGTGGCTAAACATGTATACAGGATGGGCTACGGAAGGAAGGTGAGATGGCTTAAGGCTCACCCTAATGGACAGAGACCAGTTGGCAAACCTCCCAAATCACACACCATTGATAAATAGCGAGACTTGAAAGAGCCAGAGAAAGAGGTATAGAAGAAATGAGAATATTGGCCGGAGACCATATACAATAGAGAAGGTGGTAAAATGCTATCTATGCCTGAAGGCCCAACAGGGACAGAGAAAGAAGTCTTGCATAGCATCAAACTTCATCACTAAACAGTTAAAATAATAAATACTTCATTAGATGATCGTGGATTCTTTCAATATTCATCTACCTCAATATCATTGAATTTATTTATTTTAGGGGATTAAAAATGACAAAAAATTACCAATCATTGTTCTTATTTAAAAGTCACTGAATTTAGGTCTTCCATTATAGAGAACCGTGACTTAGCATATAAAAAATTAAAATTGGTAGGAGCATTAATACAACAAAAAAATTCATAATAAATCTGTTTCCCATAAAAGTTACTATTTTGAAAATTTTCCTTTATTTCTGAAGAGTAAAAAAAAAAAAGAGAAAATCATAAAGTGGATAGCCAATGCTTACCTGATGCAGATCTATATTTTCAAACAGGGAGTCCATTAAACAATGAAGCGTATTAATAAGAAACTTTTCTTGGAGAAACCAGTTTGAAGCGTAGTTTTCATTATTCTGCCCCGGGCTCCCGCACGCCGCTAGGGTGAGATAGCATTTGGCGCAGGTATAGACATTCTGGGGTGAAGATTCCAAGAAAAGAAAAACTAATGAAGTTATTTCATCCTGAAATGATCAAAGTAAATTTCATCAGTGGTAAAATTTTCATAAGTGGAATTATAAATACATAAAAATGGTTGTATAAGCTATACACAATAAATATGTAGGATGACACATAAGCATTTTCCTGAATATTTCAATATTAAAAATTTAATTCCCATATATCTACGCAGTCAAATGTTGCCAGGGACCGGTAATATTTTTGAAGAATTAATTTAAACAAATTTTATCAATAATCAATAATTATCAGCGTAGCATTATACACATGTGTGAGCGGTCACTAAAGTGTTTATAAAAAATTCGATGATGAATAATTATTTTCCAAAACTTTAGATTAAGACTTGAAAACCAAATAAATCATATTTCAAAGAAAAAAATATGTACATTTATGTATAAAGTAAAACTTTAATAATTAATGTATTTAATGTTCAAATATTAAGTTAAACAATAAATGATAAAACATCAAACATCATCAGAACATGAATAAAATAATTGTAATCTGCTTGTTATAATTTTAATCATCTATCACAACCTGTTTCCGATCATAAACAACATATATTCCATATTGTTCCTTTAAATGAGTTACTTCAGAATAATATCGAAACAATTACAAAAATAAATGATTTAAAACATTTTTGAAATAATTATATATCATAAAAAATTACCTTATGCGCACCAGATGATTTCCCATAAGTTCCTAAAGTTTGTAGGAGGCATTGAAGAACAACAGAAACATCCTATGAAATAACATATTAACATGTAATACTCAAATAAATAATAATAATGCAATATTCAATCATTGAAGTGCTTAGCTGAAAGTATAGGCATTAGGCTGCCATAATTGAACAATAAAAAACAATTTATGTTTTAACATACAATTTTGTTAAATCATCGAAGGAGGTTAGTCGACTGTTTTAGATATCGTAGATGATAAATAGTCAGGGCGCAGTCATTTTTAAAGTTAATAATGCCAACCTTTCAACGCAAGCATGCGGGTCATCGTCAGGGCATGTTTCGAGCACTGAACGTATTAAAAAAAATCAGAAACATACCCTGATGATGAGCCACATCCTTGGGTTGAAACGTCGGAACCAATAGAAATCTTAAAAATGACTGCGTCTTGACTATAAATGCATATACTTTTAAAACCTCAATCATAAAGTGTTTAATAGAAGTACACATCTGTCCACAAACGTTTACAGATATGTTTTTATGACCGGAGTAAAAATATCTTCTGATAAGTACTGAACAGTAATCAGGGAACTTTTCAGAAGGGTGTGGAGTGCCGAAGACAATGTCTTTAAAATATGTCATAAGTTAGTAACATAGAAAAACAAGTTATTTGTATTAAACTAATCACTGGAATTTACGATTATTTTCTGGATACAAAATTAAATAAAATAAGGAAAAATGGAGAACGGAGTCATAAGTATCATGCATGATAGTATCCTAAATTCCAGATCAGTCTTGGTGAGGAAACTTGTTTTTAAATACAAGGTATTTTTTTGTGACATTAATATATTTAAATATAAGTTAATGCAACTAATAAATTGTAAGTCATACAATGAATAATTAAATTAAATGTAAAACTTAATACAAACCTGTTTCTGACTTTTAGCCTCCCTAATAAAGTGGTCCAAACATTTAGGTATTATAGACAAAGCTGTTTCCTTTCTCGCCTCGGGAAAATCTTTCGACAACCTTATTAACTCACCTAAAAATGAAATTTTCAAAAGTATAAAGATAATAATATATCAAATATATAACAGTTATATTTATCCATTTTGGTACCTTTTCGCAAGTGTCATTCCAACACAATGGATGGGTGAAAAATCACAGTCGATGAAATTTCAAAAATGGCTAAGCAGTGAAAACCATCTTCACTAATTTAACCTACTTAAGATCACCTTCATCTATTTTCGAACACAAACATTTCAAAATTTGATCTACAGTGTCCATCCATCATGTTGGAGTCACATATATTAAGTAGTGCTTTCATTTTCTAAAGATAAAGTAATGAAAATACTTCACAAGTGTTGTTCCTCTTTGGTGGTTGGAAAAATTTCGAAAATGGTTGAGTTTTGAAAACTTATTTATGGTAAAACTCCCCTTTAGTTAAATCATAATTTATGACTTCTGTAAATTTCTAACCGATCCTTTATAGGCGGAATTGGGATCTTAATCAACTTAATATATATTTCTGCTTTTGATTCTCACTCACTCAAAACAGATAAACTAATCACCAGGATTGTCTTCTCTATCTACTTCACACACATAAGAAGAGATTAAGGTTAGATGAAGGTGGTAAATGCTATTTTTTTTATGACAAAACTACTTAGCTCACGCTTAATAACCTAGAATCTATAAAACCATTATCCTACCTGCGGTTCTTTATGGATGCAAAACGTGGCCGCTTACATTAGGGAATGAGCTAAGTCTTAAGGTTTTTGAAAATAAAGTATTGCGTAAAATATTCGAACCAGAGAATTTAGATGGTTACACAATTCCGAATTGCATGAACTGTATCCGGTTAATATTATTGAGGTAATTACATCACAGCAAATTAAATGGGCTTGTAAAATTGTTAGATTTAGTAATGAAAGAATTCCTAAAAGGTTACTATTTGCTATGCCGACTGGTAAACGTCCAAGGGATAGACCGAAGCGAAAGTGAAAAGATTGCATTAAGACCGATCTGAAGGGACTGGACTTGAATGGTGAGCAATGGAGGGGTGTGTGTGGACAGCGATTGGCAATGCCGGCATCGAACCTTCGGGTTTGCTAACTAATCCTTTTATTATTATTCCATTTAACATTCTTGGAATTTCATTTACCTATGATCATGACATTTTGTGCCACCCATAAAATAAAAGTGGAGCAACGATTTTAAAGTGGCACCACAATAATTCTACAAACTGCTAATACATTTAACCACCACAGCACACTATATTGAACAATATCTATGCTTTAACCAAACATTTCTAATTTCAAATAGGACTACAAAATATTTAAAATAAAACACTATATATTCAGAAAACAACAGAAGGGTGAAACAAGGTTTTTATGAAATCACAATTTTGGAAATCTTTTGTAAAAAAAATATATATTCAGAATGGACTCGCTATTCTATACTGATCAGAATTAAAATTTAATATTATTTTACAATAAATAGGAAAAAAATTACCAAGTAACTCAAATGATGTGATTGACAGAGAACCATCTGTAACCAGTGTTCTGATGCTATGTTGGATCCAAGACACTATGTTACTATTCAAAACATCTCTTGGACACTGTGGTATAAAAGACTGCAATATAGTTAAGGCCACTGGAGTTGTTTCTGCTTTGGCTAGTAAAGAATTGATAAAATTCACATAACTTGATACTTCCTTTGTCTATAAAAAAAAAAAAAAAAAAACAGTTTTAGAAAAAGAAAATGATTAGCAGGAACTATTAATAAATCAGGCTAAATAAAGCTACATACATCAGTGCAAAATAATTTTGTTTCAGAACAGAAGTTAACAATGCCGGGAAGAGTGTTCTGATTTTTCGAAGTAATTACAGATTGCAGCAATTCAAGTGGGCTTTCCATTATTAGTTTACAATTTCGTTTAGACAATTTTATATCAAGAACATAGAATTGGGATAATAAAATGTATTAAAACGTTATGAACATTGAAGAGAACATCAAACGTGAGCCAGGCGGGAAGCTACGTCAAGGTAGGTTAAGTATTTACATGACCTACCATAGAATACTGCTCCATAGAGATAGTAATAAGTTGGTAACAATATTGTAATGATCAAATGACTTTATTGAATTGAATAACTATATTCTATACCAATAGTCTATAGGTAGCAATTTTAAAAATAAATTGGTATGTACGTAATTAGACTCAAATTATATTTCAAATAAGCATTTTCTGCTCTCTTTCGGAAATGTTGAGCAATATTCACATTTTAAAAGGCGAGTATTGAATCCGATCTACATATTACATTTATAAATTAATAAAGTTGCCAACATTACTTTTTGTTCTGCATTATTCTTCTCTCGCAAGAAAGAAGAGAAACATTCTTCATGAATATTTCATTCCATTTTATTACCGAAGGGAACTTCATTTATTATAATGAGTGTAATACCATCTTAGTACTTAATATCTGCTGCTATTCACAATAGTATCACACTCGCAAGGATCAAGAGCATGTCATTTAGTACGAAAATATTAATAACATAATGTTGATCCAAACAGCGAAAGATACAAACTTGACTAGACTGGACTAGGCTTATTTAGATAAAGGATATAAGTTATTCCTTTATCTTAAACATCGTTTTCATCCTTCCATGGTTAAAAATAACATAGGTAGTAGTACAGCGATCCCAATCTTGATAAGATAATAATTTCAAAACATCCTTCTGAAATAACTATTTAATTTGTAATATTTTAGAATTTTTATCCATCTACAACTGAGTTAACTTTTTTTTTTGTAGATGATAGACTCCAAAATCAATAAATATTTGGTTTTTAATTCCAGGTATTTCTATATGCACTGTAATGTGTTTCAAACTGGCGTGGATCTAGGTAGTTAACTATAGATACGATTTAAGGATAAGTTGGTCGAAGGGAAAAGTGATGCGGTTCGGCTATTGAAGCAAAAGCACACTTAAATCTTTCACTATTACTCTGATTTTTTAATTATTCCTATTAGGCCTGTGCAGTTTTGTCGATCGTAGTGGTACGAACACTAAGGTTTATCTGCGCAGATCAAATCTACTGGTACACCCACACTATATATGACTGGTCTTACATTCTCAGCATTTTCTCAACAGTCTAAACATAAAATAATAATATTTGATTTGGTATAACCACATCTTTTACATTCTAAATACTAAATGAAGTGACTGTTGTTTTTTAGACATTTTTAGCTATTTAGACTTAGCGAGTCGAAAGTGCGAGATGTGGTACTAGACGATAGCTTACAACAATCAAAGTAATATTTAAAACCCGACAATGTACATTCTAATAAACTATTTAGGTGAAATGAATTCCTACATCTAATGCAGGTAGCTTAAAAAACTTGCGAATAATAAGAAGAGAACTAACCGTTCTGCGCATGAGCTCTGATTTCTGTTCCTAACCTTTTTATTATATTGGATTATTTCAGAACACGTATATAGTATTTTTAGAAAATGAACGGAAGAACAATTAACAATAAAAAACTAAAACTGTTTGTCGTGCTTTGAATAATATTGTTTCCAAACGTTTCAAATAAATTCATTAACATTTATTAGAAACAGTATTTTGCTTTATGTATAGATATTAATAATTGATGGGCTGGTCTTCATTGCTGCAACCTTATATTCTTCTCATAGTTCACTAATCATGCCTAGTACTAGCTTTTTATCATAAAATTAATTAACCATCAGAATTTTCTTTTTAAGTTGTTTTTTTCTTTTTTTCAGCGTTAATTCGTTTTCAAATCAACTGCCTCACGTGAGCTTTATAAGCTCAATTTTGGTGAAATTGTTGAGAGTGTTTCGTTCATAAATGTTAAAATTAAACAAGGTATAGAAATAAATTAATATGACAAGTCATTACAGCAATGATGAGAATAATAATGAAAAAAAATAATATTATAATAAATATGTCCTATAAAAACATTAATATTAAAAGAATGTTCATTGGTTTTTTTTATTTATTAAAAAATCAAAATAAATCATTTATAATTATAATGTCGGTTTAATTTAATTGCAAAAGGCCAATAAATAACATTTCAGAAAATTAAATCACCAAGTGATTTGATAACTTTTACTCTGAGGAATAAAATCATGGTGCACCTAGAGAGATTTCTTTTGACATAAAATATATTTTTCTTAGATAATTGATATCCAAAAGTAAATAGTTAAATTTTTAGCTCCTCCAAAATATGCTCGATACCTTTTACAACAAAGCAAAGATATTTTAATTAGAACAATGAATAGCGTTACAATACGGGTCGCGGTGGTCAAACGAGTTAAGGCGTCTGCTAAAATTTTATATCAAGTGTTCGAATCTCGTTCGCGGAATCATCACTCATTTATGTTAGTGTAAAAGCACTAGTAGTTGACAGAATACCTGAGTCCTCCTATTAAAATACGAATAATAAAATTTCAGGACCTCCTAGACCCCTATTTCATATATTTTTAGTTTCTATATTTTCTCTTTATATATTTGCTTGCTTTGCTTTGGTCTTGCTGGAAACCGTAACCGAAAGAATGAGCGGCAAACTAGGAAGATCCCTCACGGTTCACTTTGGTGTCCCAGGAACAACCATTAATCAGTAAGGCCACCATACCTTATTTTTGCCCTTTTCTCTTTAACTACTTCGATTTATTCCATTTTTTTTTCTTAGAATGTTTTTAACCTATCTTGATGAAGGAATTATAAATTTAGTGGATGCCACTAATGGGGCCTTATAAGAGCCTTATAATGAGGCCAGTAGCTGACAGACCTGTACTCTCATAATTTTCAAAAGATATACTCAATATAATGGCTCTTAAAAATGAGACCATTCACTATTGTCACGTTAAAAAAAATTGCTTGTGATTTTGATTAAATATAAAGCAAAAATAGGTTTTCCTATTGCCAAAAACTGGTTCTTGGCAGTGAGCAGCATTTATTGATAAATTTAAGTCAAGAAGTTAGTTTTATAATAAATTAAAGGTTATTTTTTGTTAATCTTAAAATGAAGAATAAGAAATTCAGATTAATTACATCCTCGTTCTCATCCCTCTCAGCTATAGGAAAATTCGAAATCAAACAGTGTTAATTACTGGTACAACAAAACGATTCTCTTAAATTTAAATTTTTAATTTAGATGAGTTTAAGTTTAAGAGAGTAAAAAGTTTTATATACCTTGGGTCTGAAATAAATAGCAAAAATGACATGGCTCAAGAAATACAGAGAAGGATCACGGCTGCCAATAGATGTGTCTTTAGACTTGGCCGACACTTAAGAAAAAGGTATCTCTCAAAGAAGACCATGCTGATCATATACAAGACCCTTGTACGGCCTGTTTTGACATATGGCTCAGAGACTCGGACGATGACGAAAAGTGATGAGATGAAGCTGAGTGTGTTTGAGCGAGGAGTCCAAAGAAGGATTTATGGTCCACTAATGGAGAGTGATGTTTGGAGGAAAAGAAAAAATAGGAAGCTCAGTTCTCTTCATACAGATATCGACCTAGTGAGGTATATTAAACTTGCCAGACTAAGGTTGGCAGGGCATGTGGCTAGAGTGAGTGCCTTTGAAATACCCAAGAAAGTAATGATGGAGGAGCTGCACCTTGCGAGACGGGTAGGAAGGCCGAGGATGAGATGGTTGGACAACATGGCCTATGATGCGAGAACCCTGCTTGGGGTACGGAACTGGAGAGCTGCAGCAGAAGAAAGAGCCGACTGGCGGAAGCTCTCGGAGCAGTCTCGGTGACGGGATGTCGCGCCACATATGATGATGATGAATTTAGATGAATGTTTCATGGATAATAAATATGTCTTGGCAAGGTGAGAAATAGTTCTATAAGATGAATTCATGAAAAATATAATAGCATATAATATATATATTTTAGTTTTTACTCGTAAAAGTTCAAATAAATTTCCTTAAGCATGTCAGTTACTGATACATTTACTCAATTATCTATTTTTTAAACGATTCATCATTCTTTAAAACAAATAATTAATTACATTTAGTTCTTACTCATCAATCATTACTCATACTTCATTAAAACATAATAAAAATATGTAGGTTCGAGCAGGAGTGCCCAGAAGGGGGTTTTATGCCGCAAGCTGCGCCTTAAAAATTTCTGAGGGGAGCATATTTTCACGGGTTTTTGAATTTTTGAGGAGGCCACATTTTAACGGGGTTATAAAGTTTCGAAATACAAATTATTAGAATATGGAGTAAGGGGAAAACATGGAACAGAAAGCAGCAAGTATTTATTGTGTACTACGATTTCTCTAGTACTATTTCTCCTTGCTATGATTTTAAGAATTCACGAGTAATAAAATGTCTTGGGAGGGTAGAAGAGATAGATTCTTGCGCCGTCGACCTTGGGGGGATTGGCACCTTTGGGTTCGAGTACGGCTATGACAGACGATTATATCAGCCCTGGATTGATCCTGAGGTCGGAAGATCCTTCAGGGACAATCCTTACTTTAGACAATTGATACATTTCAATTTGTAGAAAATCTGGTGAAGAAAATCACTTCCTCGGACGCCGAGGTAGTCGAGACTGTTATGGCGCCATTAACAACCTCGAGTCTATGGGTCGGAGTTCAAATCCAGCCTTAGAGCTTCGAAATTTATTTCGTTATGAACCAAGAGAATAAATCTCGACCTTCCCACAGTAGATAGAACAGGTTAGTCACCTGTAGAATAACCACCCTCTCCTCCTTCATCCCCTCATATGTCAGAAATGACAAGGTAGGGAAGAAAAAAAAACTTATTTACCAAATACTGAACTCAAGAACATTGCAACGATTCGCCCGCCCTACTGTCCAAAGGGGGCTACTTACCTAAAGTCACGAGATCTAAGGGCCCAATTTTTTTTAAATCCCCAACACGATTGCAATTCTAGTTTATTAAATTATTGTATTTTGGTAAACAATCTATTTATATTTTCAATTAGCTTAAATTTGAAATTTAGTAAAATTAAATTTAAAATATGATTTATATTTAAAATAATACCTATATAGCCT